ATGCCAAAACACTTAAATAATCATTGCATAAAGTACACCAACACCCAATAACAGTTTGTAAAAGCACTTAAATAATCACTCCACAAAATACATTAAAACAGTAAAAAATTAATAAAACATTCATATAACCGCACCATAAAACACAGTAATAAATCCGTACACACATGCACAATCACTTAAGGAAACACACTAGTAAAGTCACTGATACTTGTAGAACCACCCCATAAATTTTATTAATATACCCCCCATAATTAATAAAAAATAATTATTAAAGCACATTAAACACTAGTAATAACACACTAGGTACACTAATATATCCGTATATGCATGCAGGTAACACACTGGTTAAGTCACTGACACTTGTAGAATCACACCATAAAATTTGTTAATACACCCGCATATTTATTAAAAAATATTTATTAAAACACACTAAACACTTATTAAAGCACAGTAGATAACACAGAGACAAGCACAATATCGGTAAAGTAAATTCTTGTTGTACAACTAATTTAATTGGACAGCGTTTTCGAGAAATCTAATGTGTGGAGAATGTCGACTCTGGTTTACTCATTGTGAGAGCATTTGACCTCCCTCTACTGTAAGAGTTATTGGTTGTTAACAACAGCCAATTAGACATCGTATAATCTACCAATAGATCAAATTCGATCTCTTCGAGTGTAATAGTGATTGGTAATGCACACTAACCAATTAAACATCATGTAATCGACCAATAGCGTGCAACCATTCTGATTGGATGTTGTATAACTATTCTAACGTTAATTTTTTTACAATTTTATATTTTTCGATTGTTTATTAACAAATTTATTGCTGCAATTATTTAAATTTATTATATTTTTTAACTTACTCTTGCAGATATGTTGCAAAATGATTATTAATTAATCTATTGCCATATATTTTATTGTAATTAATAATGTTTTAGTTATTTATTTATGAAATTGTTGTAACTATTCAAATTCATCGTTTTTTATTAACTTACTCTAGCGGATATGTTACAAAAAGATTGTCAATTAATATATTATGATATATTTTATTCCAACTCATTATTATATAAATTAATTATTGTAATTCATTATTTCCATAACTTTCTCGCGCGAATATCTTGTAAATTATCTACGAATTATTGTATTTAAATTTATTTTTATGTAATTCTTTGTAATTACTTATAATTGAAGGGACTCGGTATAGTGTGCGAACTGTTTTGAACACATAATAGTTTCATATTTTTCGAAAAGTTTCATTCTTGTGTTGTTAAAAATTCAAATTTATGCGCGGTTTTTTGAATAGTGACGTCATCAACGAAAATGGAACAAGCGGCGCCATCTCTCCGGCGAACAGGGTGAACTACACACTTTTGCAGCTGGAGTTTAATTAGTTTCATCTTCTACCGCTAGGCGGCGGTATATAAGACATAAGCCCTTAGGATAATTAGGACTAGACTAGGAATAGTTAAAAATTTATAATAGCTTGGTAAAGTGAAAACAATTCAAAGTTAATTAGTCTTGCATTCCAAAGTAATTCGGTTCATATTATAATCAATTAAGCTAATAAAATCAACTATATTGAATTGAACAAAAAATAATGCACGTGTCGCCATCTGATGGTCGAATATAGAAACTAATGAAAGTACAGTTTCAAAAGTGTGTAGTTCACCCTGTTCGCCGGCGAGATGGCGCCACTACTTCCATTTTCGAAAAAATTCAATTAACACTGATTTTATTGGCTTAATTTACAAAAAACTAAAGCAAATATTATTTTTCGAGACAATCTTATGCATATTATTATTTATTAAAACGAAAAAGTTAATTTCATTGAACCAATTTGAAAAAGGTGGTGCCGCCATCTTGTAATGAACAGTAAAACTATCAAAATGGCGTTTCACTTTAAATGACTTTTTCTCATAATACGTAAAATATCCTACGCTTTCAACAGAACCGAGAAAATATTTTTACAGTATTCTGAATGCATCAGAAAATAAAATAAAGAATAATTCCATTATTTGTTTTTTTTATTTAATCACTAATTATAATATATTACATGTTGTTACAAGTGTACGCCTTGTACTGTCAAGGTTACACTTATCTCCAAACTTTGAAACTTGTTCGAAAATGCTAATGTAATATTTAAATATTTGGTACATTAAAAATAGCATACAGACAAAAATTAAAGTGTGAAAAATTTCTAAATTTAAATGCTAATTTTTCAGTTTAAAGAATTATTTTTATAAACGATGCTGTATAATTAATCACTGTCATCCATAATTCCAACTTGTAACCTCTGTTACCTCATGACACATGTGCGTCAGTATTTCTAAAAATATACTGCAAAAATCTTATTCCGACAAGAGTTATTTAAATTACGCGCCACATTCTGCAATGGATACCTGTATCAAAATATGATTTCTGTTCACCAAGAGATGATACCCAAGTTGCGCATTATGGCTAACTTCAGTGGTCTCCCTACCAGTTAATGTTGCGAAACTGTCATAGGTTTTCCACATCGTTGACCATATACATGGTGGCGAAAAAAGAAGGAGATTTTAACAGGTATAAAGAAACGACGTAATGACGTACTCTAAACATAATCAAACTGACTCAGGAGTCACATTCGACCATCATCAGACTCCCATTTTGAAATTATTAAATTTCCATATAACAAAAACTCTAATTCACTCAATTTAATAACCTATTTCTAAATTACGTAGTCTAACAATGAAAAATCACTAGATATACACGTATGGCATCACAAAAGTCACAAATGCGCACGCGCAATGCACTCGCTTATGAAGCATACGGATCCAATCGGGATTAACATGCGCAGACCGCGCAGAAATTCGTCATATGATGAGTATGCTCTTCCGGGGAACAAATAATGACTGAAAGGTGGTGTTCGTAACCAATTTAGCCAACTATTTCCGGAATAATAAATCGCCTTGAGGTGACGTTTGCTGTTATTGTCTGCAAGGTGTGTTCATGCGAATCATAATATCGTCAGACGCAGTACAGTGACATGTATATAGTTCCAATCAAATTTTCCAAACAATAGGATATCAGTTTGAATATTTCCACATCAAGTGTCTTCCCAAACAAAATGGGCCTAACAATCAGTAGCCTGCTTACTCGGCTTTTTGGTAAAAAGCAAATGAGGATATTGATGGTGGGTCTGGATGCTGCTGGCAAAACTACAATATTATACAAATTGAAGCTTGGTGAAATTGTCACAACAATACCTACCATTGGATTCAACGTTGAAACTGTTGAGTACAGGAATATATGTTTCACGGTGTGGGATGTTGGTGGCCAGGATAAAATCAGACCACTATGGAGACATTACTTTCAAAATACGCAAGGCCTCATTTACGTTGTTGACAGTAATGATCGTGAACGTATCGCAGAGGCTGAACGTGAATTAGCAAACATGTTGAAAGAAGATGAACTGCGAGATGCGGTTCTCTTAGTTTTCGCTAACAAACAGGACCTACCAAATGCCATGTCTGCGGCAGAACTTACAGATAAATTAGGACTTAATTCTTTGCGAGGACGTCATTGGTATATTCAGAGTACCTGTGCTACTCAAGGACATGGCTTGTACGAGGGACTTGATTGGTTGAGTAATGAACTTGCTAAAAAGTGATAAAGCATTGTCGTTATTCATAATCTTCATGAACAGTTTAATCATTGAGCATGGACGTAGAAGACAGGTTGCAGTTTCCGTTTTGTCAGATTACGCACTATGTGTACATGTTTAATACCACTGTGATTGTAATTTCTAAGATAAAAATTGCTTGAAATAATAGAGTATAACTTGACCGACATAACTTACATGATGCTTATATTGGTTTCATTTTTAAAGTGAAATTTTCAAAAAAGAAAAAAATATAAATTAGATGAGTGTGTATGTTTACCAGTTCTGTATTATTTGTACGTGATTTATAATTCCATTTGAGAAAGTTGTAAGTTCAATTGGAAGTGTATCTTGGATTTAAAATAAACATGGAATATTTCTACATTAATTTTAATATATAAGTTGTTTTTATTTTGCAATAAAACTATTATACAAAAAAAAAAAATATAAGCAAGTTTTACACTTCTATGCACTTTACTCTGCGTCTGTGCAGCAAATTGAAAATGAAATATATATTGCGTAATTTACCATTTTTATTATCCTGTTTTTTGAATAAATAATAAATTATAGAACTAATGATAATAATAAATTATGAAAATTTTTAAAACTTACCTGTTTTCCCTTATTTATAATTTTGTCGTTTTTTTTTAGAAGTAGACAAATAAATTTCTGTTATTGCACTTGAGTTTTTGTAATAAAATTTTGAAAATGTATTTTTATAACAAGGAGATGCAGAAACAATTATGTTTTATAATCTTATTGGGTAACTCAAAGTAATAATTTTATTATAGTACAAAACAGTACATTATCAATACATGCACTGTATAGTGTATAATGTATCAAATAATTTGTTAATATGCAGTGTTATTTTTATGCACCATAAAATTCTATTCCATGTCTACTCCATAAAAGACAATTAATAAATTACAGAAATGTTGTCTACTTATGAGTAATATGTATATACAGTACTTTTAACATATGACAGAATAGAGCATTGATTTTAAAACATTTTAATATGAATATCTTATTTATAATGTGTCAAGTGTTAAATTTTTTAAATTAATTTACACAAAATTTGTTATTATACAATGAATTATTGACTTCGTTCGCTATATGCATTTCACAAAATTATTAGTACAACCATTTGATAACAAATTTTTTTTATTTTAGGCAGCAATCACACGGGTCATTGAACAAATACCAAGTACAACATGGTAATTTGTTCAAACTAAATTTTAATACTAGTAACTGACCATTGGAATATGTACCATGTCTTCTGTCAGTAATTGTTAAATTAATTGATTATTTTACACTGATTTACGCCAACCACAAAAATATTTGTTCAGCATATTTCCTTTATTGGTAGCTTACAGTCTGGGCAGAATTTGTAAATTAATTAAAGGAAGAGATCTATTACTCATTTACGTACCCAAGAATTTTTTTGGTGCGGGACATTTTTGCCCAATGCTGGAAAATGATTTTCTAATGTATGACTAGTCATATGTGTTCGAAAATCGGAACCATTTTTCAAAACTTGACCGCAAGTTGCACAAATTTCTAAACCCTTAATCTTATTGCCACTCTCCTTTTTGTGAACTTTAAATAGTTCTTGTTGTTTTTCAATGTCAGGTAACAGAACCAAAAGTTCTGGAAATACGTTCTCGAAAGCACTGAGACCCATAGCTTCGCGACAACGTGTGTAATAATCTTGAGCGTTACACGTTCCTTGACGAAACAATCCGCTTATGTACCGAAACTCCTCGATTTGATCGTGTTGCATTAAAACTTCGTTAACTTTAGCTACAAGACACCTATTCCGTTTCTGAAATTCTGGAGGAGGTACATAATTATACGCACTGTTGTCCTTGCTATTATCTGGCAAGATAGAATAACTTTCTCCAGAACTGTTTGTAAAAGTCAATCCATTACTGCTGTTCAATTTATCCATGCTATTGTATTTTATACAAAAACCAGGAGGTGGTGGAGTTGTTGTACCAAAGCCAGGTGGTGGATTTGTAAATCCAGGTGGTTTAGAACTACTACCGCTTAAAGCTGGAAATTCTTCTAAATGGCGAACATTTCTGTTAGTAGAGTTTAAACTATCTATTTTTAATTCAGTACGTTTCCTCTGTACTCCATTGGAAGTATTATTATCAGTATCCGTATTTACAACTGCTTCATTATCCATATTTTTATGCTTTTTCTTATCCTTCTTATTAGTTTGTTCTATCTCCTTCGAAGATTGTACACTTATATTTTTTGATGTATTTACACTGTTGCTCACGTTATCTGTGCTTTGCATTGATTGTGAACTTGACTGTACAGCATCAATGTTATTTTTACTGTTTGCGCATGAATTTTTAGACGTCTCGCATTCTTTCTTGACAACGACAGTACTTACATTTGTTCTCGAACTGCTAGTCTCGCTTCCATTAACGTTATTATTATTACAATTTTGTTTAACCTTTTTCTTTTTCGTTTTTCCTTTCGTTATATCAGTGGTTGTTTTCACGTTATTACTGTTATTAGAACTTTGCGCCTGACTCCAAGAAGGTACCACGGTGATTGTTGATTGCTTCTTTGATTTGGATGATTTTGATAGAGTAGGAAAATCTTCTCCAGATTGGATAGGCGGTGGAGAAGGTACTAATGGCGGTGATGCAATCTTTTTAGGTTTCGGCACAGATGTCGATGCTGATTTAGAACAAGTCCATTGTAAAACTTCTTTCCAATGAGCCAAGTTCGTATTGCTACTAGTCGACGGTTCTGATGAACCCAGTGCAGGAAAGTCAGATTCCATTGAGAGTTGAGCAGGACGAATTCTAATATTAGGACCTGAAACTTTTGTAGTGACAGTTCCATTTGGTTCGTGGTTTACTTGAATAGATACATTGGAAGTTGTCCCCTTTTGGGCTTGAGTACTTGATCCTGAAGAATTGCCACTTGACACGCTGAAATTAACAGTTTTAGAAATACTTGTACTCCCTGATTCTGGTCCCAATGCAGGGAAATTTTCATCTGTAACAGCAAGAGGCTGAGGTCTTATGGTACTACGAATCGTTACGTTACCTCTACCTTTACTTTGGTTTAAGGTAGGTACAACGGGTGTAGCGTTACCCAACGTTGGAAACTCTTCAGTACTTTGTACGTCCACGGATGGTTGCTGTACAAAAGTAGGTTCGTTGTTTGACACAAATACATTTGAAGTATTTGGTGTAACTGTTGGTTGATATTCCCTGAGATTATAATCTCTCCCACCGTAATCTCTTGAACTTCTGGAAGTTGATGCGCCTAACATTCCTCTTCTGTTCATCCGATTTTCACCACGTGGAGCTAGGGTGAATTCTAGCTCCAATGTTCTTGCTTGTTTAGCAGCTGCCTTGCTCAATTGTTTACTATGAACACTTGCTTTATGTGCTTTAAGATCTATATCAGTTCTAAAGACACTTGTAAATTTTTCCTCAGCACACATTCCCTCTTCGCACAGAAAATGTTCTTGTCTGAAATGATCTCTGAGGTAATCATAAGAACTATAATATTGATGCAAACCATCTGCATCACAAAAATGGCAATATAAATGATCTCGTCTTAAATGGCGAAACAACTCATCGTTATCCATATAACGCTGATCACAAAATTCACACAGTGGATGTCCTTTATGACTTTTGTCATCGATATCTCCTTTCCTTCTATGTTGTGCAAGATCAGATCTTGTATAACAACGCCTTTCATGAGAAAATATCTGTTGTGAAAAGAGAAACAGTCTTTAAAAATCACAAAATCATAAATATAGAGATAAATTATATAGTGGTAACATACCTTTAAATTTTCCACGCAGAGATCACAATAATGCAATTCATGCTGATGTCTCATATGATCTTTCAAACTATTAAAATTATTAAACACTGGTTTTTCTTTACAAATATTGCAACTATTAGCCAATAAATCATAAAATTTACTTTGAATGTCAGGTGTATCAAAATGAATATTGTATCTGGTGTCTAACAAGTTGCCTTTATGTAACTGGCGAAAAGGTTTTATCTCCTTGGTGAATACAACTTTTGGTAAATCTTGACGACAAATAGGGCACTCGTTTTGACAGCAAAGTACCCTCATCCTGGTACTACATTCATAACACACGGGATGTTCACACATACCGATACTATAAATATCAACATTTTTGTAACACACAACACAGGTGTTGTTGTTGGTACTTTCATTATTACCAGACATTCTTTGTATCAAAATTTCACTTGAAAATACTAAGTTCTATTAATACACACTCTGGCCACAGAATGTAACGAATTCTAATTTTGTTTATTCGATCCCTTCCGATTTCAGATTTCGATCGAATAAATTATGCTATTTTGTACAACGTCGTACACAATCTGTAACAAAATTATTATTTCAATCTCGATACATTTATCGCATACGGATGTAATCTTAAACCATTACAACTGATACAACTTTCATAACAACTTTGATCAATTACTACGGGAACTCTTCATTTAAAAGCTCATAAAGTATCACATGAATATATCAAATTATCTCGGCACAATTTTTATGGTAAAATAAAGATGTACGAATTCTGATACTTCACAATCACTATAGAGTCTCGATAGAAGAAATATTTTGTGGACAAGCAACTGTTTATATTTCAAATACTATCCAGATTGAAGTGTTTTCTCATGATATTACCAAGGCTATCTTCTCAAAAATTAGTATAGGAAAATTGACAATACCCTCTGGAAAATATTCCAGCAAGCAGATGGTAAAATCTCACAGGATGTCCCTGAAAGAAAAAGGTTATCACGATTTATATTCTAGCACAGACGAGGTATAGGATAGACCAATCACTTTATGTGAGTTCGTGTCACACGATCTGAAATACCGACATCACTTCGATTGCGCACTCTACGATTAGCAATGGCGATTTCAAGAACTACAATGACCGAATAATCGCGGTTGGTTAGGTAATACAGATGTCACTGGATAAGTGACCGTTGTACAAGTAACTGTTACGAATGGAACTTCGCTGACACGCAATTACATGTATGTGGCGGGTACTTATCGAACATCGGTACTTTGTGTCAAATATGTAAACTTTTGAAGAGTTTATTAAGATGGAGACTTATGTCATCGGATCTTAAAAATAGATCATGCATCTACAGGTCATTTTTCTTGACAGATGTCTGTAATGTGTTGTTTTCAGAGTCCCAAAATTTGGAAGTAATGGAAATTTCTGGTAGAATAAAGAATGGCCGTGATCACCAAATTCACAATATTTTTTATTGTTTGAAAAACGCTGATTCTCAAATTCATCGTGAACTTAAATCACATGAGACATATAGATTGCACCAACTATCATCAGTTTGTATTTCATTAGTCCAATAAAAGTACGGCGATAACGCACACAAAAGGAAATGGTATACAATAAGACAAGTAGAGATTTCTCGTATGTTCACATTAGTTGTACAATTAGACATTTGAAATTCCTTGCAAATATTTCTAAACGATAAAACTGCGTGTAAATCGTACAGAATAAATTCTAGAAAAATGAATCTCAAAAAAGAATCGGGCCCCTCTACTTGAAACACGTTTCTATACACATAATCCTATATTCACTGTCCTTTCGCCTCTCGTATGTAGAAAGTAGGCCATTACATCTCCTTTGTACGGTTTCAATAAGAAACTCTAATTACTTTATCAAAAATTTATTTCAAACTATTTACCATTCAACAAGTAAAAAATTGAACAGAAATTGCTAAGTTACTTTTTCAAAGTATATAATAATTTTCAAAAGAAGACAATTTTACAACATAATTTATAAAACTTGCAAATACTTCCTAATGTGCGTGCTAATTTATACGACCTCGAAGCAAAAAGACAGTCTTTGACAACGCGTTTCGAGTACGGTCCGATATTTTCGCATGTGGGCTGTACCTTGTTTTTTTTGTCTATGTAAATATTCATCTTTACAAGAATCATACTTAGAGATAGCCGCGCTTCGTTTTAACGTCTATTCGGATGCGACACGCGTAATATGGTTTGTGTGCTTATTACATAATTAGAATGCAATGGTGACATTCAGAATAATTAGGGACATACGCTGTAAATTCATTGAAGCAGTGCTTAGAAGTCAAGTGAGAGCCAATAATATTTTACAATGTCTGAAGACAGATGTTATCAGAGTATATTGCTTTAAGAAATTTAAAAACAACTGGCACCGCAAACTGACCAAAACTTTCCTTTTTACATTATTATAAATATACTTATTGCTGGGTAAAACATCTTCATATTAATAAACATTAATAAATTCATTAATAAAAAATTTATGGAGATTTTTAAGTATTCAATCTTGATCTATTAAGTGCAGTTGCAATAATTGATCATAATTGCAATGCTAATCTTTAAACTTTCTACAAGTGACTCCAAAGTTATAATTTTACAAAATTATACTTTTACAAAGTAAAAAATGTTCAAAGCTTTTTTAGCATCAAAGTAACTTTGACAATATTTACAATCCAAATTTTCAAACTTACAAACTTTAAAAATATTTAAATTACAAATTTTTTTATATTTAATCTTGATCTATTAAGTGCAATTGCAATTGTAATAATTGATCATAATTGCAATGCTAATTTTTTTTCAATTTTCTACAAGCGACTCCAAAGTTACAATTTTATAAAATTATATTTTTACAAAGTAAAAAATGTTCAAAGCTTTTTAGCATCAAAATAACTTTGACAATCTTTACAATCCAAATTTTCAAACTTACAAATTTTTAAATATTCAAACTTACAAAATTTTAAATATTTAAATCACAAACTTTTTAAATATTTAAATTACAAATGTTTCAATATTTAAATTTGAAAATTTTTTAAAATTGTGAGTGAAAGAACCTTGGTTCTTGTAATTGAATTATAAAATTGTTACATTAACAAAATGTATAAGATGTTTTACGCCTTAGCAATTAAGTATCATAAAATATGTACAATAAAAGATAAAAACAATGTATAATCAAAATAAAAGAAAAGTCCCTCTAAAATTATCGATATCGAAAACCAGAGATAAGAATTTTATATTAATGCAGAAATAAGTCGTATCACGAGGTAGTTGAGATCTTATTTAACGTAACACTTTAAACCAGTGCTCCCGAAATTTGGGACTAAAATTCTGATACTTTCATGACAAACTATTTGTACTTTGAATTTTCTATACGTTTGTATACAGCAAACGTACATCGTTTAACTCTTCCTTCAATTTTGAACAATGTTTTTTCTCACATTTTATATTCTGACGAAATGCAATCATGGATAAAAAGAAATATAAAAATACAGAATTCTGGATTGACTGGCTTAAAAATGAAAGTTTGTTACGTATAACAAACATGAATTTTTTAAAACTTGATCGTGTATAAAGCGAAATATGATTGTTGTGGTCAATTTATCTAAGTGTCTACATTTCGATTTCGATCATAGAGATTTAATACACGTTTCAAGTATTCTCAAATGTCAGCCCGCACGCAAATGCATCGCTGTTCGATTTCGTTTCTATTTGCAAACTCGCAAGAGTATCGCGAGCCTAATCGTGTCGTGTAATCTATCTCGTTTCTCGAAATAATAAAGTGCAGTTTGACTTGAAAATTTATTATATATTACATGTCTTCCATCAACGCTAATTATGATATTTATTAATTACGTTATTTGCACCGTCCTCTGAATTATTTTTCGTTTATCATACAACTAATTCTCAAAAGAAGTGACATTGCTTCAAAAGCAAAATCGAATAACAATATAAGCGAATTTCTCGGTCTTTATCGTTAGAACTTTTTTTTCTCTTTTCTTCTTTCACTAAATTTATACATTATGTTTGCGTATATTTTAAATTTATACATTATGTATGTGTATACTTTAAATACAATATGCAATGGACCAATGACAGGATTGGTATCTTATTCATTTCCCATCTCGAGGATTACGTTCACCTTAACCAGTTATTTATAATGCTATTTAAAAGTCGACTTGTCTAATTAATTTAAACGGCATTGCTGAATTGTTTTTACGTTCGTAAAGCTTATGAAATATATGTACATCGTACACATGTGTTCACTGACCGTGGAAACGCAAGTTTTGCAATTGATTATATTGCAACTCAATCAATGGAGCCACACACTCACAAATGAATAAGATACATTAGCCCTCAAATTCCAAACGCTCATATAGTTTTGTATTCATTTTCACAATTTTGATTACCTAATAATCTTTATATGTACATACATGGATAAAATCATGTAAGTTGAGAAACAACTTTCTCGTTCGCATTTTGTGCAATATTCAACGGCCGATGCTTAAACTAAATGCACATATTTCTGAAGACCGAATGAAAAAAAGAAAGAAATCATACGTTTCTTAACAACGCAATTTATCTTTGGTTTTACCAAAAACCAAAGGGTCCCTTCACGTAAAACAATTTGTAAGGTATGTCACTGTATCATCGTAATGTAAATCAAGTTCGTGTATCGATACCTTCATTCAATATACATCGTGCTAACATGATTCATAAAAATCCCCTTTCTTAACGTAGACACAAATTTATATTCCCAATAATACATTTCGACACAAAATATAAACTATAAACTATATTAAAATATACGAATTCAGATTTGGTGAAGTGTAAATCATAATCATCTATCTCTTAGTAAATATACACTTTGTCCATAATCTTTGAAAAAATAAAATAATACATAGATAAAGCAAGTTTATACATAATCCAGACTTATCAGAGTAAATAAGTGCTATTTCTGCTTCTCAAAAAAAAAAAAGGAATATATGCTTGAGTGGCTAAATTAATAATTCAACGTCACCATAATATGATCAATTTTATAACAATGAATTATACTGGCAATTCATTGACACGATTTGAAAATGAACTACGCTTAAAAAAATCTTGTATCTCCAGCCATAACGTATTTTCTTTTTTTATGAATCCATAGATTCGATAACAGGACAAGGATTTACAGTTGAGGGCACTTTTTTTCTCCGCCTGTTATTAATATAGCCGCTGGACCATTCGTATGCTATTTTTCAAACAGCAAGGATTCAGCGTAATGTACAGATATTGTACTTCTAAATCTACCGATCTATAACTTGGAGATCGATAATCCACGGATTGTTCTCATCTTTTCGTACTCTATTTTTCTCTGTGTTTTCCTCGTTTCTTTTTTTTTTTTCGTAGAGTACACGTAAGCCCCAGACATATATATTTGTACATAGCTATCATATCCAATGGAAAGTGTACATTAAACGCAACTGAATCACGTACAGTTCACTCACAACATCAAAAATAGACTATTGCAAGAGTGCATTAGCATGTGACACCCTGTAGATATTACTCAACCAAGGTACCGTTCCCCATACATTCCGTGACTTTCTTCTCCTGTTGGAATCTGAAACGTAGACGATATGTACAAATTTTTAATGATATCACAATATCACTCTTATAAGTCTCTGAGTCTTTTTTCCTTTTTTTTTTAAATGCGATTTATCGCACAGTTATATAAATTGTTGATCCCACATTGTTGGACTATAATATAATGCAGCATCTGATAGATATAATAATCTTGAGATCACATATATTACATTAAAAATTGATCGCGATTTTTTAAGAGTGTTCTACGTGTACATATTGCCTACGATGCAGATTCTGTTCTAAATGTAGTACAGGAAATACACGCAAATTACGTTAATCTTATACTCGTCCACGTGGCTTTTTTCGGGGAGTTGTCTCTTCGGTCGCCTGAATTCCACTTGCTGTTGCTGTACGTTTCGGGCGTCCTGTTGCTTTGTTATTTTGTGGCGGGCTCTGTGCAGGCGCTGAAAGTAGCGTTAACATTTTATTATTCTTTTAACGCTCAATTAAAGTCATAGCACTAAATATCCTTACCCCGTAGTTTTGTCCTTGAAACTGCACTTGTAGTATTATTACTTTGTTGCTTCGTACCCTTTTTATTTTCACTTTTTTTAACTTCGGTATTATTTTTAGTTGCATCTACCGACGCTGTGGTATTAGTAACAGTAGTAACAGCAGTTGTAGTTGTGTTGGTAGCAACAACGGTAGCACCTTCGTTCCCAGACTTTGTGTTTCTGTTTAATGCTCTTTCCGCTCTACTGGATCCCTTTGCGACGGACTTAGCAATCGCTAATGCTTTATTCACTGTTCGTTTTTTTGAACGACTTGATTTAGGTGATTTCTTATCGGAGTCTTCATCGGCTGTTTCATCTTCGGAAGAGCTTTCAACTTGCTTTGATTTCTTACGTAGATTTTGTTTTTGTTTGTGCATATTATAATTTTTTCTCTTCTTTAACTGTGATTCATCCTTATAAAGTGAAAGGTCAACTGTGGATAAGATATTGAAATTTTAGCATTACATTTTTAAATAATATTTAAAAACGATATTAATATTTAAAAATGAATAATATTTAAAATAACAAGGTTCGAAATATGAAAATACTAACGGCCATCAGGATGTTCTTCTGTCACTCGAGGTTTTTCAGACACGCCGGCTTCAACATCAATTGCTCTCTTTAAAATATTCTCAGTGCGTAGGAGCTCTATTTTGGTTAACTGGAATTTGTTTTTATCGATTTTATTCAAATTTAGATTTGTTAATATACAATCAAAATCTGAAATTTAAAAAAAAGATTAAAGTATGTAAATGAACTCTTTACATTATAAGTAATAAGATTTATACAGCAATATAACAATAAAACTAATTTAGAGTTTTAAAAAGTATAAATCTAGTAATTACAATTGCAATTTTAGATAAAATTACCTATGAAATCATAAAAATCTGGTGAATATATTTCTCCATTGTTTTTGTCTTGAGAAAGCCAACGTATACGAATTCGTCTGCTCGATTTGTATATATTTTGCATTGCTTGACATACATAGAAGCTTCCTTCTGCATTTCTCACAGCCAAAAATTCATTTCTAATAATAAACATCAACAAAAGTTAATTTATGTATGGTATTAAGCCAACATTACCAATTTAATTAATAAAAATCATGTATTAATAAATGAAAATTAATGTAAAAAGTTAAAAAATTTTATTGTTATTCACCATTCATGTATGTATTTTCTATCCTTAAAAAACAAACGATTCTCATACTTACTTATAGAACACTATAAGTTTGTCATCGGAAGCTTTTGATGGTGGAGGCTTATTCAAATTTTTGACAAGCAATGCAATTTCTGGCAATGGACTTTGATAAGGCTGTGTTTGAATTCGATTTCTTTTTGGTTTACTTGCTCCATCTGAAGCTACTGGTGTTCCTTTTAAATCCTTTAATTCTCTAGATTTTCTTTTATTTGCTTTTGGTGAACCAGTGCTCTTTGTTTCAACCTTTGGTGGATTGTTTGTTTGTGACGCTGCTGAACTATCTGGTACATGTTTTATACTTTGAGATGTGGCTTTTGGCTTTTGACTTTCAGCTTTTGTCGATCCATCTTCGGTTTTGTGGGTAGTTAACTTTGTTTGTAAAGTTGTGCTGATTGGAATTCCATCAGAATCTTTTGAACCGTTGTTTACAGGGGTCTTCTTTTCTTCAACTTTATTTTGCAGTGGTGGACATAATGCTAAAGAAACATATATATATATATATACATATATCATATACATGTTTATATGCATCACAATGTTAATGAATTTGACATTCATGAAGAGATTGTTAAATGTAATTCTTATAACACAGATAACATCATAGTATAAAAGATTTAATAAACGAAACAAAATAACAGAATTAATAGAATATGTGATGCTTTTACTAACCAGGAAAATCTAAATTAATGGATGTCATCTCTTGTTCTGATTGAATTTCTTTCTGTGATTCTTGAGTAGGGTTATCTGGACTTAAATTATTGTTTCTGTTAGATTCGCTTTGTTTTATAGTAGCAGTTATGTTTTGCTCTGTTTCTGTTTTTATGATTTCAACTCCATTAGGAATCAATTTATCCATGTCAGATTCCTTTTCAGAATTACTGCTTATATATGGAGGCGTTTGATATACAGAAGGTCTATGATCTTGTACTAAGCTTAAAGGCTGACTGGGTGGTTGCAATGTAACGTAACTTAATCCAGTTCCTGATAAAGGCTTCATAGATCCTGGTTCTGATCCTGACACAACTTTTTGCGCCATTGCATTCATAGGTAGAATAGAATGACTGGTAGATGTCGGAGAAGTACCTACTCCGGGTATCGTTGATTTTAAGGCCGATGCACTCATTTTCGCTAAATACGTCTCTAAATACTTATAAAAAATTGGCATCAATTATGTGAATTTATCATATAATTACGATGTATTTAAAAACACAAATGTTGTTTAAAGCTGGAAAGATTGCTAATGGAGGGAATATATGTCTTATTGGTTATATCATAGAGCCATATAGGTATGATTCATGCATTTTTGTCATTTATTTTAATGGTCATATCTACTAACAAACTCTTGTAAATTTAAAGAGTCAGATGGTATGAACGAGGTCTCTTGCTTCTATATTACTCATAAGCAATGTTTCCAGCACTGTATAGTACATTAATGTTTCTGATGTGACGATCAATTTAACTTTTATTTTGTATCTAATAATTTGATAGCAGCAGCTACAAAAATATTAAAAATTACAAAAAATCAACAAAGTACTGCATGAAAACATTCCAACAATGAGTACAGTAGTTTGCTACTTATAGTTTGGTTAATAAAACAATGTAAATAAAAGCAACCTTCATAATAATAGAAGAAAAACACAGAATGCTAAGATGTGGCAGCAATGTATGAAAAAAAACGAGGGAGAATTGAGGAAAAACTCAGGTACAGAGGGTGGTCGAGGAGGGAGGGGGTAATTAGAAGAGTAAACATAAACACGAAGGAAACTTTTGCTAGTTTAAAACTAAATAATACCGAAGAGCCCACGTAATATTTTTGTTCTTAGAGATTAACTGGAAATTACCTCGACGTTATCAAGTCTTGAATACGGGTATATATTCTCTTACTAAACTTCCACGGATAGTTGATCGCTGCGCGTTAACACACGGTTAACTCATTTTCCCACACACTTCCTCGACGCGTGAACATTTCTTTTCAGCTAACATTTCATACAGTGTACGCGTAGCATAGTCCATTTATCGAAGATATTCACTTAACTTACCGAATTCTACAAAACAAAACGATAAAGGCTTGCGCGCTATAGAAAGCCGTGATTTTACCCGCACGAAAAAAAACAGGAATGCCAGACGTTAGATGGCGTCGGTTCTTGGACGCCATGTGTGGCGCAAACTTGATTTCATATTCATTCTGATTGGTTCCACAACGATAGCTTCGTTTCTTTTGTATTAATTTCTTCGAATATAAAAATTATTATGCACCTGTAATATTATTTACTTTTTATGGCTGACTTCTGATTAAAATTTTTTTGATTTAAATACAATACTTTTTTCACGCCGTTTTGTTAATAGGTAAAAAAACATAAAGCTTCGTCTTTTTTTCGTTAGAATGTTATGCTTTGAAAAAAGTCTATTCGATACTTATGCATTGATATGATATCATAAAATGTATAAAATATATTAAACAATTACATAATGTAACATATAAACATATGTGTATTTTTTTACCAAAAATTCTACAATTTACAAAAAATATTTTTGTTACGTCATTTGCCATTTAAATATTGTATAACATGAAATAGTTTCTGTATTTATAATTTATCTGAAATATTCTTTCTGTAGAAGAAATTAATAAATAATTGTGTAACACTAATTAGTATTTATATAGTGGACTTTTAATAATTCTTTACGATGAAATCATTTATTGTGTGATATTTATAACGATATTGGTACTGAAACTTATAATACTTACAATTGAAGACTATAACAAATGTGTACAATGTGTTACTTTTTCATAATGAAATAATAGCAGTATTATTATATAACGAAACAATAGAAACAATCTATATTATGTGTGCGAATTGTTTCTTTATTTTTTCATTTATTAAAAACACGTTACGCGCCATTTACATGTCATAAGATTAAAAAGATTTAGTAGTACTAAAAATAGAAATGTGCAACTATATTAATTGTTCTTAAAATATAACATATTTGCTCACGTAAATGAAACTTCAGTTTTTATCTATCACAGATAGATCGAGATTCATGACAGAAATTTTTGCAAAAAGACAGATTATGCTGGCCGTAATCTTATATTGATATAAATGAACCAATCAGAAAAAATTGGAAACCGACGTCACCACGGCTAAAAAGTTTGAGCTTCAGTTCTTACTATTTTTTTACAAAGTTTTTTAGAATTATTTAATTGAAGATACAATTTTGTATTCTTATTAGAAAATCTGAAACGGCCATATTTTATGACGTTTACTCACACCAGCGCAAACTGCATGAAAATATGTCCATGAAATGAACGTATTGTAATTGTTATCGAGAATGAAATGAACTTTAGACTATTGTCAACAAAGTGGTCCCGCCACATATAAGAAACGCTGTACAGTTCTATATAAACATATTGTGGTATATATCGTGAATAGGAATTTATAATTTACAGTTGTATAATTTATCGATTTCTTGATTATTTAGTTAACGATGGCGCGTGCACTCGTAGGTGTAAAGAGAGTTATCGATTATGCAGTTAAGGTATATTTGAAAAAAATGCTACAAAATTCAGAAGCAAGAAATACTAACAAAATTACTGTTTTGAATATTTGGCCTGATATAAAATAATGAATGTACTAATATTTAAATATTATATAATTTCATGTCATACAAGAATTTACTTTATTATAAGGAGTAAAATACAAATTGTATGATACTTTCCAGATATGTTATATGCATCGTACAGTTTATGTAACATATATTTTATTTTTTTTTTTTATTTTCAGATTCGTGTTAAACCAGATAAGACAGGTGTTGTAACTGATGGAATTAAGCATTCGATGAATCCTTTTGATGAAATTGCAATTGAAGAAGCTGTACGAATGAAAGAAAAGAAACTTGTACAGGAAATAATTGCAGTTTCATGTGGACCAGCACAATCTCAAGATGTTATAAGAACTGCACTTGCAATGGGTGCTGATAAAGGAATTCATGTCGAGATATCTGGGCCTGAATATGAAACTTTACAACCTATTCATGTTTCTAAAATTCTAGCCAAATTAGCTCAAGATGAAAAAGCAGATTTAGTAATTGTTGGCAAGCAAGCTATAGATGATGATTGCAATCAAACTGCACAAATGATTGGAGGCCTCTTGGACTGGCCAACTGGTACATTTTGTAGTAAAGTATGTTAAATAATTATAATTTAATATAATGCTGTATACATCTAATTTTTATGCAGTGCAATGATAAAGTTGTTTATTTATCTTATTATAATAGGTTGAAAAAACAAATGGTGAACTAAATATTACACGTGAAGTTGATGGAGGTTTAGAAGTTCTTAAAATGAAAATGCCAGCAGTTTTAAGTGCTGATCTTCGTCTTAATGAACCACGGTATGCCACATTACCGAATATCATGAAAGCTAAAAAGAAACCGGTTAAAAAGATGACTCCAAAAGATCTTGGTATAGATACTGCTGCAAGAATTGATATTTTGTCAGTTGAAGAACCACCAGCTAGACAGGGTGGCGTTATTCTACCAGATATTGATACTCTAATTACAAAATTAAAAGAAGGTGGACACGTTTAGTTGCTTATCACAACAAAAATGTTTTACAGTGTTTTTTACTTGTTATACTTTTTATTAAATTTTGCTGTATATAGAACAACTTTTTATACACTATGAGATGTTGCATGTTATATTTCAATAAATTTTTTCTGCAGAAAATAAAGCAATAGGTCCCTTTATCATATAACTGATAGTCATAATAAAATAACATCTTATATATATATATTTATATATCTCTTTGGTAAATAACAACATTGTATTTCTACATCAAATTTGTACTTCTACGTTTTCATACATTATTGACGTCAACTATCGCGTGCTTGTACATTGTGTAGACATTTTTATTATTCACTAGGTTTCATAAACTCTCATTTACACATATTTATGATAAGTAAATTTTACTTAACAATCGGTAGTAAATAGTAAATGTTATATATCCCTGCATATATTTCTCGTTACATATAACAAATAACAAATTGACAGAATATTTTGATTATAAATTCTTTGTCATCAATACTATATATTTCACCGGGAATGTTCTACATTTAAATACGAAACTTATAAGAATATATCTCTTTAAAAATCATTCTACTAAAATATATAATTCATACGGTCATTAATCTTTTTTAAAGATACGTACTACATGTCTTCATAGAAAAGATAGAGTTAAATGCCAATACCCGTATTTATTACCCTACAAATGTTAATTCTTTAAAGAATCGAGTAATAATAATGTAATATTATTACATTATAAGTAATCCAATCCAGAAAATAATTTTCTTAATACTTATTTTCTCTTTTTAATATACTTTGTATAAGCTAATACGTTACAGAAAACTTGTTAAACAGTCTTTTATAGTTAAGATCTATTTATATATGTCGAAAGACAAAAAGAAGCGAATGTTACTTAAAACCTTACTTATTCCTTATAATAATACTTTCCAATCAAATCTAGTATTACTGGTATGCGTTATAGGGGGGAATGGAGGTGGATAAAGTTGCCAGCCATCCATCCCTTCACGCGCTGTTAGACATGCTAAATATGGTACTTTTTGAGCTAATTTAGTAACTTCCGAAGCCGGTGGAATTCCACCACCTGTTAATTGTCTAGTACAAGCTGCTAAAGATGCAGCATGAGCTACAATTAAAATATTTCCTACTGTATTTTCAATAATTTGTTTGATTAATTCGTAACTCCTTTCATAATACTGTGCTGCATTCTCTTTTAGTGGAAGTTCTTTTGTTTTGATGATTGGATCATAGGTTTTGTCTATGTTAAAGCCAGCTTTTATTAATTCTTCGGATGTCATCCAAACTGGAACACCATTTGGATACCATGCCAACCACTCTATAAGGCCAGGCTCTATTTTCATTGGAATGTTTAAATCTAACCCTTTTAAAATGTGAGCTAACGTTTGTATACATCTTAACGACGGCGATGTAAAAGCCACATCTATTTTAATACTGGATGATTTCATAGCTTCTCCTACCAAACCTGCTTGCACTTCACCTACAGTAGTTAATGGACTGTCATTTCGGAAGTCTTGTATATTTCTCGATGGTATCTCTTTTGGCATGTTCAAATCTCTGCGAACGTATGAACCATTTGGTTCAAAGCAATAACGAATCCATGCTCCAAACGTAAAATCTACCCTTTCCCCGTGGCGGCATATAAAAATTTGTCTTGAGGAACTTGAAGGTGCTTCAGAAGCCTCCATCTATACAGAAAATAACATTAAATATGAAATAAAAGTAAAATTAAATAAGTATAAGGATAACACGAAATAATATAATTTACTGGTTCATTGGTTGTTGCAATTCCATCAGGGCTATCTACAGAATCACTTGATGATAATACTGGTGGTTTACGAGTGACAGGTATTTCTTCCTTTTCTATTTCATTCCTATTGTCAGTAATTGGTATAGTAGTATGCAAGGTCCATGAATCTGATTCAGCTGTACGTTTTGTATGATTTAAAGGTAGATGGCCAGAAGTACCAGTTAACCAAGATACACCTTCAACCCAACCATCTGTAGATAAATTACATGCCCCTTCTGGAATATAAATGTAATCTCCCACTCTTAATTCTAATTCATCATGTTCTCTAGGCATGTGAGCATGCGTAACTTTATGTACATGTGCATTTTGCAGTCTAGAATCTCTAGAATACAATCTGAGTTCCCAATTAGTCGGAGCTGTGAGTGTCAATTTTTCTACCATTAAACGTAGCTGTTGATATAAATTGCCAGGAAATTGATATGCTAATGTCAAATGCAATGATTTTATTTGGGGTTCTGCTGAAATGCCTAAACTCGTAAGTTTATTTACATAACGGACAGCAATATTTTTCAGCCATTCAGCATTTATTTCTTTGACAAAAAGACCCATAAAATTGGGCGAAATGTAAGTTTCTAATTCAATATTGTCTAATAATTCATTCTGGTTAACTATATTTTCAAGGGCATTTACTAATTCTTCTGTAGATTCATCTGGTGCCTGTAAATGCAATATTCCTGTTAGTTCACATTATTTTATGTATTAATGTTACTGTAATATCGTACATTAAATAATGACACAAGTGTTATATGTGGTACATAGTTATGTGCTCCATTCCATATCAGTTCTTTGCTCTCTGCCCAAAATTTCATAAGCTCCTCGGCTAATTCACCCGTAGGACAAGCATATAAAACGTATTGTCTATGGGTATTGGTATCCAAAGTAGGATCTCTGACATGAGCCACTAGCCAATCGGATGCAAGTTGAATACCTCGATGTCCTGTAGCGGCTAATGCTTTTTCTCTGCAAAAGCAACACAATATCTACTTTAATTATCTCAAGTTACATAATTAATTTTATGAGCTTTAATCACACCTGTCTTACATAATAAAATACAATATATTTACGACATAACGTGTATTGTAAATTACTTGTCTACAATGCAAAAGAAACAATAAACAATATGAACTTAGATAATATCATGAAAATTAATGAAAAAAAAAATAAAGAATCGTGACATTCTAAGTTTGACAGCTGTTTGTTTACAATGTCTACTTTGTGATCATTTTGAATTGCTCGTTAAATTAAAAAGGAATTGCAACATCCTTATAATTATATCACACTATAATACTCACGCTCGGTGTTTTGGAAAACCCAACTGTAAAAGCGTTTGCAAAGGGGTTAAATGTTGTTTTAAAATTTTCGTTGGAGTCGGATTTTTCCGCGGTGGTAACGTCGCCATGACGGTACATTACATTTCGGTAGATGCTACCAACATAGTTGAGAAGAATACTTGAGCTTCCATGTATCGATTAAATCGAATCGAATTTCCGATTCGATTAATTCGAAAGTTTGAACTTTTGTTATCGATACAATGATCAGTAACGAAATCTCAGTTTCGGCAATGGTGGTTGTTTGAAGAGTGGTGTATGAAAGTTAATTAATCTTTAGAAATCTTTGAATACGAGTGAAATTTGCGGTCGTAAAATATAAATTGGAGTCATCACGTGTAAGTACATACATAAATTATTAATATGAGTTAAACAAATGAACGGAATTTATTCATAAGTAAATTGCGTATCTTCAGATACAATGTTGAGGACTTTCGCGCTATAAAATATGAGTGAAGTCAGCAGATACTTACTTTTTAGTATAGATATACAACAACTCGTAATTATCTGACGTAAAAATTTTTCCTGTATAACAAATTTTATTTTTAGTTCACTTTCATTCAGTATAAATAATAGTTAAACAAATATTTTCACAAAGAAATAACTTCTTACAGTATACTTCATCGATTAAAGTAGGAAAAAGAAATATAAAATAAATAAATTAGCAAATGGATTGGGAATAGATTTTTGACATGAGTCTTGTGGTGATTTGACGTGGAGCGTATTTGAGCTCACGTGTGTACACAAAATTGTAATTCGAATAACTGTATTTTCTTCATATCCAACGCATACTCCATAACAATTTTAACAATGGCACACGACCAGTATATTATGCAAAGTTAGTGTAGAAAACAGCGATATGTTTACATATGTTCATTCGTTACAACATTCGGTTACAAACATTCTTCGCGTTGCAATATTACAATAAACAAGTAATAAAAAAAACTTCGTAACTTAATCGAGGATCATTTAAATTTTCTCTCTATTCATTCCATTTTAATATCAAGAATATATTCAACAAATTTTTATTTCAGCAATGTTAATTTTTTTCATACAAATTTTTTTTACACAAAAATTTAAACGATCCTCCCCTTATTACACAATTATGTATATATTATATGCATACACGTTGTATATAAAATAGAACCAACCGCCAATCTCAACTCTTTACATGAAACGTTCGAACTGTACAAACATCTTGAGCTTCTCGTTACTTAATTACATGAAGTTAAAGTACACATCTCTTCTTAACGTTATTTGTGCACATCCGACGGTTCTAGAAACACTTTCGTTCAAACTTAAGAGAAACGTAGCACCAAAAGTAGTAATTTTGCAAAATTACAGCGCACAATTTTATTAAATAAAATTAAGATTCATGTTTGACGCTGTAATTTGCGTTTGAGGAAGAAGATTATTAGATGTAGCGTGGTCTCGTGGGAAAACGCTGAGTTTATTAAACGGAGGTCGCGAGTTCAAAACTTGGTGAAATAGATATTTTTTAATTTTTTTTTTTAAATTAGTTTTAATTTTCTTTTTAAATTGACAAAATTTATTTTCTTAAATTTAGTATAAAATAAAGGGAAATTTGATTATTTATTATAGGGGAATTTTATTATTTTTTAAGGAAAGAGAAAAATAGAACTAATACATTTTTTTTGTTTTACAAGTGTAAACAAATTTTTTTTTAGAAAATAAAAAATAAATGAATTCGTTTAAAAATTACCTTGAATTAGCATTAAAAAAAATATATATAATTTTTCCAGATTTGAACTCGTGACCCTCGGTTCATGAATCCCGCGTTTTTCCATTAGACCAAAATATAAATTTTTCTCATATTCTAAAATAAATTATAAGTAGTATAAACGTTCCTCCAGTATTTTACAGAATTTCATTAATTTTACAGAATTTTTCGTTATGAATTTACAAAGTTATTTCTAAAATTGTATAAAGTTTAAACGAAGTGTATCAACCTAACAAAATTATTACAACCTTCAGTTTTTCTATCGAAGCTATCTGAAAGATACTTTCTCACATCTTTCTTTGGTATTCCAATAAAATTCCGCATTAATCACATAACGACGTAAATCATACGAAAATTATTTTTCGTTATTTCCACTCACAGATTCTATTCAGCTTCTTCCAACGCAAATCATTCTCTAATAGCACACATTTTCCGAGCGATAATTATTTTGCAACATTGCACGGTGCTATTAAAAGAAACACGTACAGAAATTCTTTTTCTACAATCCATTGAACTTAAGTCCCAAATTTTTTGAGAAGGTACATCATTTTTTTATGATTCACAGAAAAAGTTCATATCCAATATTTGTTTAACAAATTTATTTAATTATCAAAAACTTCTTACAAATTTTTCGTAAATATACTTTCCTTAAACGTTAATTTAGACATTGTATTAAATAGAATTTGTTGAATTACATTGTTAAAACAGAATTTTTTCTACGCTTTCAAAATTTAACTAAATTGAAAAAATTGTAAAAACACTAATTTCATCAGTTGAAAATATTGAGTTATAATTTGAGAAAAATTATAAATGCATAAAAAAATTGTTTGGCAATTTGTTACACGAATAGCACCATCGAGTTAATTTTTTTTTTATAAAAATACACTTCAGATACAATTGTATTAGTAAATAAAAATAGTACTTAATTAAAATTTCAAGATAAATGTGGTCTAAGGTAAAATATTTTTCGAACATTCCCAATTGAATTATAAATTCTCAAGAACAAATCGAGGGAAATTTTTGTTTCGTTTTACGCCGCTTTAAGACGTAAACCGACCACGGTAGCGAAAGAGTTAATTGGAACTAGTTTCCGTATCTAAATTCTTGTAGCATTGATATCCGCGGACTATTTAAGTGACCGGCGTGATATACGCATATAAATAATTGCAGCATTTGCTTATCGATTTAGGAGGCAAGCAATGAAATGTTTCACTAATCAACATTAATTACCGTCGGTAAAAAATTGTAGATTACGTGTCTCGAGTATTTGGTGCATCTTCTGATTTTTGATAACAGTTATGTAAGTGATAACACTGAGTCATTGAACTTGGAGATGACTCAGATCTTCTATTTATATTTTTAGTGGTTTCGATCATTTAGAAATAAAGATGTTACCAAAGCAGTTAAATGATTTTACTAGTTTCGAAAATTAACTTTCAATTTTTCCAATTTTTTCAAGGAAAAAAATCATCAAATTTTATTTGGCAATTTCTAAATTTTTTGTAAGTTGAAAATTTTTGTTTTGGAAAAATTTGGTTTATAATTTGGTCAAATCCAATTGAGGGAGTTTTTGATGACTTTAGGTTTATGATATTTGAATTTATAGAGTAGTGAACTTGAGAGAGGTTAAAAATTATGGTAGAATATTTATAATGATAAAAAAATTGATTTTGTAATTTTTTTGGACAAGAATTATTTTCTTAATTTCTTAAAAGGTATTGTTTTACAAAATGAATTAAATTAAATTTTGCGAACCTAATGAATTAAGTTAAACTTTGCAAACTTGAAGAATTAAATTAAACTTTGCAAACTTGATAAATTAAATTAAACTTTGCAAACTTGATGAATTAAGTTAAACTTTGCAAACTTGATGAATTAGATTAAACTTTGCAAACTTGATGAATTAAATTAAACTTTGCAAACTTGGTGAATTAAATTAAACTTTGCAAACTTAATAAATTAAGTTAAACTTTGCAAACTTGATGAATAAAATTAAACTTTGCAAACTTGACGAATTAAATTATTTTCAAACTTGACAAATTAAATTATTTTCAAACTTGACGAATTAAATTGTTTTCAAACTTGATGAATTAAATTATTTTCAAAGTTGACGAATTAAATTATTTTCAAACTTGACAAACTAAATTACTTTCAAACACGAATTAAACTTCTTTCAAACCCAATCAGTTTAATTAATTTTAATCTCAATGAGTTCAATCAATTTCAAACTTAATAAACTAAATTAATTTTAAAGAGATTCCAAACTTTCCATTTATCTTTCATTTTTCCAAAATAAAAAAATATTTTCAATTAAAAATATTTCACAGAATTTCACATTTCATTAAACTAATAGATTTGTGACTTTAATTCCTTAGATACAAAATAAAAGTAAAAATAATTCAGACATATGAAATATCGATAGTGCTATCCTTGTATAAAATTGCAGATATTTTTATTAAAAAAAAAAAGGAACAATACAAATTCATCGCGTGTTATTTATAAAAAGCTGATAATTTATTTTCGTATAGAGTGCATGATAAAAAATACTGTTGAATCAATATAGTCGATAATAATGCGTTTATCACTATTAAGATGTAGTTAATGATTATTATTTATCTGATACAAATTGCTATCATCACTTGTATTTAATCGATTGAACGATTCGATTGATTAGCTTTTATTAATCTCGAAATGAATGATCCATAAGAAAGAGATAGAAATTCTAATATTTTTGTAGTTTTCGAGAATTATTTCGACAAGCTAATAAATAAAACGTTCGATAAAATTTCGGTCAAAATTTGATGTTAGTCGAATAATTTTCGAATGTGAATTTAAAATAGAATTGAGTTGTTCGAGAATAGTTAAGAATGTAGAAAAAATGTATGAAGAAAATTTATTCGAAAATTTGGAGTTCATTGCTGAAGTAATAAATAATTTTTATTTTCACTTGTATGTATGTAGTATTGAGTCAAAAATAGTATTTAAAATGTATGTAGTATTGAGTCAAAAATAGTATTTAAATGAGAGTAATATTTAGATATTCTATTTAAGTATTTATAAATATTAGAGTAATATTTTAATAATTTTAATATTTAAGTATTGTTCAAATATTAATCAGATGAATGTTGTACAGATATTAGTCAAGTAGATATTGTTTAAATACTACTCAAGTAAATTATCTTTCTGTGCTACTCAAATAAACGTTGTAGTGATAGTACTCAACTGAATATTATTCACACATTACTCAAATGAATAGTCTTCACATATTACTGGATGAAATATTGTTCAAATACTACTACAGTACTACTTAAGTAAATATTGTTCAAACGTTACTCAAATGAATATTGTTCAAATAT